TGAATGTAAAATTCTGTAACTAATGAAAAATTTTGTAGTGTTTACAAATCTCTATAAACTATTATAAGATTTTGTATCACCGATACATATTGATGTATCACAGTGCTCGGATACAGAAAACTGTATCAAATTGGACACAAAAATCTGTAATTTTTCTTAGAGTGTACAAATTGAATAAGAACCACATTATTAAGCATCAGTTGCCTCTTACCTCTTAGCAGTTGCCTGACTTTGTAAATGTGTTTACACAATTGAGCAGGGTCAGGGCAATCACAACTGTCTTGTGTGACAGTGTACAAAGTGTTTGGATTGGTCTGAGACCTTATTGTGTAGTTGATGCCATTGTCAGTCACATCATCAGTACTCATTTGCTCCCCTGCCACCTGCCTCCTTTGAAAGGGTGTTGTGTAGGCACCAGCTGAAAGAAGTCAGAATAGGCATTGGGTAATTGAGTACAATTTTTTTTTAAAGTAGTGTTGTATTATGCAATCGCCTTTCCCCGCTCTTTTCCCCCGCTCCCAGAGTGTTGATTATTGGCCCGGTTGCCATGAGAGGGAGGTTGCTAGTGGAGAGAGTCTTGAAAAACTGCCCTTCTGACCAGACGTGCCTTTGATTCCTAGTCCCTATTTTGTGCACTTTGAGACATTCCTGAGAGAACCCCGAAATATAACAGTAGAAAACAAAGAAAAGAAATATGGATAGAAAACTAACCAGGTTTCTTGATCGAAATTTTATCTGAGGATCCTATTTGGGGAGAAGAAAAGTCAATAAATTTACAAAGTTTATGAAAAACTCAAATTATGACGCTGTAATATCAAGCATTCAAGCCTTACCTTGAGACAGTTTAATTTGGCAGGTTTTGTGTTCCTGATAGGGTCTGCCTTTAGTTTTTACAGCTGTTGGTACTTTCACCCCATGTAGAAGTTCCTTCAAGTTTGGAGTAGCTGGAAGTGCATAGAAATAATATTGAAACATAAGTGGAAAACATCCGAACACCACTTACATGAGAGTTATCTTAATGTACCTGAGTTTAATGCCTTAGTATAACGGTGGAAGCCACAATGTTTGTGCTCAGAAGAAAAATACCTTGAACATCCAAAAAACTGCTTATTTGGAGGGTTTTTAGCAGTTCTCCTGGAAGGACAGGAAAATGCAGGGTCAAATTTTCTCTTATTAACACTTCCAAATCATTGGATAGTGAAAAATGCATTATTATTATTACCTTACAGCAGGTATACCACAAAAGCAGTTAGGAGTCACTCCAGCTGGGCTTTTTGTCAATGCACTGCTAGTGTTTGTTTGTGATTCAAGGTTTAGAGGGCTTTGTGCAACTTGGCTTGTCTCTGATACTTTGTTTCCTTGTGAATTACTTGCACCTCTGTCAAAAAAATCCAGGTGGATCCATAAATGAAACTAGATCAGACAGTAAATCATCACCACCATCCTCAAGCAAATGACCTGGGGGAAAATGCCATTCGGAAATATCAGTTAAAAAGATAAATTAAATATCCTCAACCCTTTTTAGAGAAATATTCTCACTGTATTCCACATTCTTGGATTCAGAGTTTCCTGGCTTGACATTAAGAACAATTGAAGTCCCAGCAAAAGAAAGATTTAATGGTCCACCTGGAAATAGTTTTGTAATTATTTTGTGAACAAGAATATTCTAAGCAATACAACTTATTTTTATAGTGAAGTATACTTACTGCTATTCATATTGACTCCACTGACATTATTCACTGGTTCAATCTGAGTAAATAAATTGCCTGGCTGGACGCCAATAGTATACGAAGGTCCACTGGCAGAAAGAGACTTTCGAATTGATGCTCCACCTTAAAAGATTTATCAAATTATTCTGAGAACAAGAAATCTTTGGTCTTTAGTGCTGTCATTTCTTAGAGTAAAACTCACCATTCAAATCCAAGCCAGCTGATGTAGAAGTATCTAGTTTTTCTTTATTTGAAGAAATTATTCCACCAGCATTTACTCTTCCAAACTGAGTGATTAAATTGCTTTGCTGGATGCCAGTATCATTTGAAGGCACACTGACAGCAAGAGAGAATAAATTTGATGGCTCACCTAAAAAGAGGTTAGTAAAATTATTCTGTGAAGTGTATTGCTTCTTAAGCCTTCCTATGTCACTCAGAGAAAATCTCACCGTCCAAATTCAAGCCAACTGATGTAATGTATGAGGAATGTATTCCAACATCAGTGTTTACTGGTCTAGACTGAGGAAATAAATTGTCTACTTGATTGCCAATGCCAACATCATTTAAAGGCACATTGGCAGAAAGATTGTTTTGATTTGATGGTCCATCTAAAATGAGGTAATTAGAATTATTCTGTGAAGTAAATTTTTCGTAGGCTTTGCTGTCACTCTTAGAGGAAATCTCACCGTTCAAATCTAAGCCAACTGATGTAGCAATATCACAGTTTCTTTCGCCCGAGGAATGTATTCCACCATCCGTGTTTACTGGTCTAGACGGAGGAAATAAATTGTCTAGTTGGATGCCAACATCATTTAAACAAGGCACATTGGCAGGAAGATTGTTTTGATTTGATGGTCCACCTAAAATGAGGTGATTAGAATTATTCTGTGAAGTAAATTTTCTTAGACTTTGCTTGTCACTCTCAGAGAAAAACTCACCAGTCAAATCCAAGTCAAGTGCTGTAGAACTATTATATTCATCATCTGAGGAAATCATTCCTTCATCTATCTTATCCTCTTCATGACTTTGTGGAGGCCCATTATCATTGTTTTCTACATCTGAGTAAATCATTCCTCCATCTATCACATCCTCTTCATGACTTTGTGGAGGCCCATTATCATTGTCTTCTCCATCTGAGGAAATCATTCCTCCATCTATCATATCCTCACCATCACTTTGTGGAGGCCCATTATCATTATTTTCTCCATCAAAGGAAATCATTTCTCCACCTGCCTCCACCTCTATTTCAGTGCCTGCAAGTAATTTATTTTTAATTTTTTAGTGCAACAGTAAATTTTTGACATTGATGCAACAGTTTCAAAGCACGTACTTTCTGTGAGAGAGTTAACTTCAGGCGAGACAGACGACAAATATCTAACTCCAGCTGTCTCGTTACTAACTGTCTGCTGAGGATCTGTGTGAGTTGTGATCATCACAATTTCCTCTGACACATGTTGGGTTGGGACGTTGCCTGTAAGTGAAGATTTTAAAATTTATCTATCTAAAAGTTAATCTTTGCGGCTATGCTGAACAAATCTCAATGCTAGTTTACCATTTATATCCACACCAACTTCAGTGCCATTGACTAAAAATCAAATTCCCATCTGCACTGCACACCACTTAATTTTCTGTAACAGAAATATTTGAAAGAAAAATTTGAATTTATAACTATACATCCTTACTAAATTCAAATTTTTCTTTCAAATATATCTGTAACAGAAAATTAATGACCCTCTTAAGTCTATAAAGAGAACTTACTGTTCGTAGCCGAGCCAATAGTGGATTTCTTCTGTGATATTGTTAGATCTGATGTCAAATCTTTAATTGGTATGACCTCCACCTCATTACCTGCTGCCCAGTTTTTCTGCAGATCCTTCAAGACGCTTATGCGCTGAGCAAACTGCGGATTGTTCCCTGAATTTCCACTGAGCTGCAGAATGGAGACAAGCTCCTTGGTCACTTGATCAGCTACAATAAATTTCTTCCTAGGAGTTTTCGCCTTCAAGGCTGGTACAGAGGTGAGTACAAATTTTCTCGCTGGCTGTGGTGCTGAAGATGGTTGAAGGCTGTTTTTCTTGTGGAACATTGGATCATAATCTTCAAGTAAGTGCATCTTAGATCCTGTGCAAAATGGTATATTTATTATTGGTACACAACAACTGATGTCATACAACAACTGATGTCATACAACAACTGATGTCATAAGTAATATGCGTAACTTATTTTTCATACCTGCTTGTCGCCTGCACTGAAACATATGTCGACAAGGCATTTCATAGCTCCAGAAATGCAGACAGAAATACAGACAAATTACAATTTAACTACCATTATGTAAAAAGTTTGAAAAATATGATTTTGGATGTACAAACCATTTTAAGCTTAGAATTGTGGTTTTCCACTCTATTAGTGGTTGTGTTTCCGAAGTTCAGACTTTTGATTTTGTCTCTGTTGCACCATGCCTGTGGACATTTGAGCCAGTTAGTATCAAAGTACGTCGAAGAATGTCGATGTAGCCTCTTCTTTGACTTGTTTAACCAGGTCTGGGAATTCACTGTCTTTTACTGTGCTTCTGAGTTGTTTGATGATCCTCTTAACTTCTGGTGTTTCTTTTTTACTTTTCTCATTCAAGATCTTTGATACATGGAAGGAGCACAGCTGAATGGCAGCATTTGGGAAGACGGCCTGGATTGCTCCAATTTCCGACGGATCCTTGTCAACAATGATGGTCCTGACCTTCTCCGCCACCTCTTCAGTGATCGACTCCCTGAAAGCTTGTAGTACAGCTCCTACCGTTGTCAATTTTTCATTGGCAACAAATGCGTAGCCAGCTGCCCTTCCACTACCTCCTCCATCCATGACCATTAGTACACAAACTGGCATACGCTTTTTGTTGATCTTGTACGTATGATCAATCAGTATCACTTTCCCATATTTTGCAACATTCTCCCTCATTTCAGAAGTCTGAAGGAAGATGAACTGAAGTTCATTATCAATTTCAGTTTTTGTGATAGAAATCACAGGCTCCAGGGTCTTCAGCTATGAGTTTGCCGAGTACATCCATGAGTCGCTCATCTTCAGGAGTGGGTCCATGTTCCTCAGCTTTCCATCTGGCTCTGATATAAAAAAAAATAAACAACATGAGAGACAAACCAAACAGCTTAAACAGGAAATTCTACATGAAAAATCTGGTGTACATCTAAATATCTTGCCTCATGTTTGCTAAGTCCCGTGCTGTTAGCATACCCTTTTAGTTTCCTCTTAAAAGGTTTCGAACGACTGAAGGCTTGCACCCTCCCTTAAAAAGGAGTTTGGCTTTTTCCTGACCCTCCTCGTCAAGCGTTCTGTTCGATGGTAAAGCATCATAGATTTCCTTTGAAATGTCATGATTTTCATGTTCATCATTAAAAACTTTAACTGTTAAGATGCCGCTTCTTGATCCAATTAATTGCAGCTTTGCTTTGCAGCCCACCTTGAAAGAACTGTGGGAAACATTAGCATAGGCCTAAAAGCAGAGTTTGACCAATCATAGCCAAAGAGCAGAGAAGAAAGTACTTACGCCTGCATAGCGCGTCTCCCATCCCCGGTTCCCGTACGCTTTCTTCCACCAAATTTGCATGTGAACACTACGTTTGTGTACTTCAGACATTCTGGGTACCTTCGTGGATCACTTGCGGGCAGATCCTTGTTTGCATGTTCGACTGTCCCACCGCTAGCCTTGGCAAACACCACGTTATTCGTGTCTTGATATTCTTCCAACACTTTCTCAAACTCTGAATACGACTTAAATTCTTGGTTCACGTACAGCAGTGCCATGGCTGAACGAACTTAACCACACCGGTGTCCACAGTACTCAAGCATTCGAGCCTTGCATCGCGCGCGCCGCGCCCTCATGCAGATCGAATTGTAGCCACCGTACGAACTCCGAAAAGAGACATAACCACGGTCGAAAAATCTCTAATAAACCTCCAAAGTTTGAGTGAAAACTTATTTTGAAAAAGAATACCGTTATAGTCGCGTTGTTAATGCGTTTTGAGTCTCGCTTTAAATAGTCCGTAGAACTTTCAGCGTCGTATACGTTGGTACTCTACCCTTTTTGGGCGAGGAGGTAAAGTAAAGCTATTTGCACAAGTGTAAGGCGCCAACCTACGTGTTAGGCGAATAACGGCGTTAGTATAGCATGCACTGTTTGGGCGTTCCGTCGGGCACGCGTTGCTTGCCCGTACGCCAGAGCCCGTTTGTTCATTGGGCGAATAACGACGACACTACCAATTGCACAAGTCGGGCAATCCGCACTGCCCATGTTTTTCGCCCATCTCTGTCGGGACGTTGGGCGAATAACCATTCTACGTCAGATTACACGTCTTTGGCAGCATCGTGAGCATCTTTTGCTCGCCCAAGCTGTTATTTAACTATATAC